GAATGTCTTTTTTTTTTTTTTAGTAACATGAACCAAATCAAAGCCTCTGAATTATATCACCTTACAAAAAGCTTTTAGCTATTGCTTTAGCTATTTAGTTCTTTAGCTATTTGAAAACGTTAAGACTGTGCTGTGTTTATAGAGGACCCTGCCTTATTGAATTACTCTCCTATATAAGGCTGAAATCACATTGTTATGCAGTGCCAGAATCTGTTTAACTTCAACCTATACATGTCTAAAAAAAAAAAAAAAAATTTGCTTCAAAAAATCACTTTAAATGAATCTTTAGCTCAGTATGGTTTTTGAGAAACCATTTATAGATTGCCACTTACCTACCTAGAATCAGGCATTCTTCCATGAAAGATTTGAAGTGAATCTGTTTTATTTCCTCTTCGAATTCTTGATTTGTTGAAAGTTTTTCACTTTGGAATAGTTGGGTTATTGTTGCTTATAACAGTGTGTCTATTCTCCAGAAAATACACTTACTTGCATAAATGCTATATGTTTTAGAGCTGTATCATGTTTCTCTTTGCTTATAATAATCAGCCTCCATGTAAGTATTTGTAATGCAGCAAAAATATAGACTATGACTAGACTCTTCTACTCTTTATAGAGAAAGCTACATTTAATCAATAAAGCACAAGTCTTCAGGTCCCTTAATAGATCAGATCATTCTTACTCAAATGCTATGCTCCTCATAGACTATAATGGGATGGTGATGTCATAGCAAAGATGCAGAGGAAAGGCTGAGTATTTGGCATTTCCAAAAAAAAAGAAGAGCTGAAGTAGAAAGTGAAATCCTCAACATAGTGGATTGTTACAATTTTTATCTTTACAGTCATTTGCTAATGATTGAGATCCTCAAACAGTGATGAAGATGAACTAATTATGTGTGTGTGCAGAATAAGATAGCTTAGTCCCAATAGCTTAACACTATAATAGCAATGGCCCCATGCCATGGTACCTGGCTAGGACTGCTGAGTTCTGAATGTAATGTGAAATTGAACAACAGAGGATTAGCTTGTGAAAAACAATGCTGTTTCTCAAACACTGCTGAAGTACATGAGAATAGACAATCAAGACCCCATATATATTAATAATTACTTACATATACATAAAGTATATAATATAGTATCGATTGTACATGTATTTATATACATAAGCATATATATAGTATATATATTATATATACATATGCATGTATATATAATATACATAATGTATTAAATATATTGTATATGTATTATATTAGTGTGGAATATGTGATATATAATATATATTACATATTTTATAAACAGGAGGGAAATCAACTTTTTACATGGGTAGATGATGAAAGACAAGGGGGAATGTTTTTAAAGGAAATGAGAGAATTTTCTGATTAGATATCGGGGGAAATTTTTCACTGAGTGGTGAGGTGCTGGAACATGTTACCCATAGAAGTTGTGGGTGCCTCATCCCTGGAGCTGTTCTAGGCCACATTGGATGGGTCCCTGTGCAATATGATCTAGTGCTTCATCTAGTGGTTGGCAACCCTGCCTGTGGCAGGGGTGTTGGAACTTGATAATCCTTGAGGTTCCTTCCAATCCAAGCCATTCCATGATTCTATGATTCTATGCTTCTATGATTCTATGATTCTATATACTAAGGAATAAATGGTAGAATAACATGTAAATGTTGAAATGGGTAATGGAAACTACATTGGATTCCTTCCTTACTTTGCCAATAATTGTGCCTTTGCTCTCAGTGGGACTATATAAATTTTTTATCAGAAAAAATATCCTACAATTAGTTAATTAAGTTGATGTTTTAAGTGGAGCAGTAGCGACTTTAGACCTAAAGTTAGTGATGTCTTCTGAAATGAAGCACATTTCTTTAAAATGAATTTATCTTTGATAAAAGGAACGTTGAGATCAGAGGGGCTCCCTACACTGACCCTAATCAAATCTTGTCATAATCTCTACAGTAGGTTGTTTTTCTCTCCACATCATTGAAAAAGGTAAATAACACCTTAGTTGTATTTATTGACCTCTACATTTTTGTATAGTAGTTACCAGTAAATATTTCAGTTTAATTCACTCAATATTTCCTACAGACATTTCTTTCTTTCACATAACTAAAACTTTACATGGCATGCATTCAGTTTCATCTTGGGGCAAAGTAATTTTTTTATTTTTTTTTATTTTTTTTCCAAAACACTTTAGTTGCAGGATTACCTTGTGTCTAACAGGCAACAAGTTTTTATCCAAAAGTGCTCACATCTTTGGTGGGCTGATGATGGGACTGAATTATCTTAGTGGTCTTTTCCAATTTGAATGATTCTATGGTGCTATGATCTTTCTAAAATATGAAAGTAGAGTGATTAATTAGAATTAAAAAAAAAAAAAAAAAAAAAAAAGTAAATTGTAAGTGTAGTGGTCTTTAAACCTGTCAGTAAGTAATTTCAGGATGATCATTTCATCAAAACGTGTGAGGAAAAATAGCTAGACATTTCTCTGCAAAGAGCTGGGAGAGTTCTAGTACTAGTGTCTAGTATAGTACAAAGCAAAAGAAGAACTTTGAGCACACCAGAGTTCTGTAAAAAAATATCATGTGTGGTACAAAGGGCAAGATATTAGGATATTAAGTTTTGAAGTTGCTGACCTCTTCTTGATTTCAGCTGGTAACTATTTGCCCATGGGCTGTAGGTAAGACTGAATGGGTTAGCCTTTATGTCTATGCAGATGAAAACTGAGAAAGTTTATGTTTTGGCAAGCTTACAGTTAGATACCACAAGTATCTAGCAAGTATGTGGGAGTGTAATACATGGGTAAAGAGAGAGAATAAACTGAAGATCACTAAGGAGTTGAGCAGTTAGAAAAAATGGATTAAAGGTTCATTTTTCAAGATCTTGTTCTTTAATCTGATTTTATTCAAAGTAATTAGTTTATTCTCAGCTCCAAAGCTGTATGTCCTGCTCGAAGAGTCAGGAAGTTGTCTAGCAAGTTATCTGATCTTCATGATGATGACTATGGAATCCTGGAAATTCAGGTACTACATGGCAGAACTTAAGAAATTTCTTTCAGTGCTAGAACCAGTAAAATATCTATTTTCTCTTCAATTTATTTTAAAAGGAAGCAGATCCCCAGATAGTAAAGTCCATATGAACTTGCTGAGACAGTCTTTGTCTTTTGATTTGTTGTTACTTTGTTGTTACCAGATGACAAAAGGCCAGACATGGGTGATGATATACAGTAAGGGGAGGGAATCCTGTTGGTACATCTACAATCAAATTTTTATTATTTCTGCCAACATCTCCTGTCACAGTCCTACTCCAGTGTTCTCAAAAGAAGAAATATCCTGTGAGGTTTTCCTTCATATTTACCAGACTTAGATCTACCTGAATTTCTTCTTCTTTTCCATAGAGTCATATACATAGAAAATCTGTATCACTAGATCAGTGAAAAGAAACTTGCTATCTAAATTGGCTGTCCTTGTAACCTATTTAAGTGTGTATTCTGAAGTTTATTAACAAAATTCACACATTCCGGTTAAAGTGTTTAATTATGTATTTGTAAAGTTCAGTTTAAGTTTTCGCCACAGTGTGCTGCTAACGCAGATGTGTGGAAGTACTAGTAGTTATACCTTGTATGTGAGCTGATTCTTCAGCACCATATTTTGGTGAGGGCAAGTTTATCCTCTGCAGAGCACATAGTAGTTGAAATGCTGGTGAATGCTAAAATAATTTACAAGTACTACTATTGTGATGTGGCTAGAAAGGTGAATATTTACATCAGAGAAACAGCTGTATATCAAGTGATAGCCTCTGAAAACATCTAGCCTATTCCACAGTCCCTGAACATGGTCAACTTTATTGACACAATGTTCTTTTAGTCTTTGAACTCTTTGAAAGTGTAGCATGAACTATGTGTTTTGTGGTGCAGACAAATGGAAGGTGTAAATGAATGGAAAGAATGCATTTTGCTTTTGGTCAGGGTTTGCTTTCTGCTTTTCTTCCTCTGCCTGACTGTACTCTTCTGGAGTTTATTCCTCGCACCCTTCCCTGACACATCCAACAGAAGGCCTCGGTATAACCCTGTTACTCTGCTTATCACAGACACACACAGCATCTGTTGTCATAGGTAGGAAAGAGGAGCTATATGGAGGCAAGGCAGCTGTTGATATAACTGAAGGTTCTGGCATCAGTCCTCTGAATTAGGTGGAGAAAGAAGAGAGCGAGACGACATTTTTAGAAACCAGGAGGCTGGAGAAAATTACCTCACACTTGAAGTCTCTGGGTTTTATCATTTTAAAGTGATAAAAGAAAATATGGAAATGGCATCTTTCTACATCTTTCCATGTCCTTATTTATCCCTCATCATTTTCCCTCCCTCACTGACTTCTAGTCTTAATAACTGGATCATTGAAGACCTTTAATCATAAGCTAAACATTTTGTTTTTCACCTGTCTTCTGGAGGTTAGAGGTTAACTTCAGGCCAATTAATAGAAAACAGAGCCAAGAAAAAGGATGAAGAGTTGGATTTTTAGTTGAGCTCAAAATCTGTCTCTTCTTTTTGCCACTGATGTTCAAAGTAACTCTATGAATTTTGGTATTGCTCTATTGCCACCAGTGTCATGCTAAAGTAGCTGGAGATTTTAAGGAGAACAGAACTGGGTGAAAGCTCAGCTCTCCTGACAATGCCTTAAATGGAGCTTCTTGTGATCAACTGGCAAAATGCATCAAAAATTGTTTTTACAGTTCTCCAAGGTTCGTTCCTGCCTGTCTTCTACTCTGCTCTTGTTTCTCCTCTCAGGGACCACCTGGGCACTCACAGATTGTCCAAGTTGGACCTTTGTGCCACTGATTTTTCTTAGCTTTTTTGACTTCAGTAGTGTTTGACTGACATAGCTACATTAAAAATAGTGTGCATGTTCACAGCTCCTGCACCCACAGCCCCTAGTGCAAGCAGAATGCAATATTATTATCTCAGCAAATGAGGTAACAATGCATCACATGAGGTACATGTACTTTCCTGCAGCCTCCAGGAAAGGTTGCAGGGCAAAAAGCACTAGGAGAGGGAGAGCAAATGGATTGCATTTATGTATATATATTTATATACTGGAAAGCATCGTGTTTACCATCCAGGTAATGGTTACCATCCAGTGATATTCAGGAGCTGGGAGTTCAGGAAAAGGTACCTCCTCAGCTGAGGTTGTCTGCAGACTTTCAGGTATTATGATGAATTGGGAAAAGGTTATTTAAATGTTGAAAATACTTCTCTGGTGAATCATAAATATTAAATATATTACTCTATACTGTAGTTTGCTAAGGAAATGAACATTAGAATGTTATGTGAAGGCGGGTACCTCAGTAAAGTCTAGCTGATTTCCCTGTGTTACCCAATGTTTTCACCTTCTGATGAGCGTCAGCTAATTTTGGTGGTAGGGCTGTGATCTCCATACTTTTGAGATTCTAAAAGTACTTTTTCATATAGACTAAACTATCTAGAGAACTAATTGAATTATCTTAACTTCTTCTTCACTTTGCAAACTACAGTCTGTGCCCAACATTTGTAGAGCAAGGTAATGAAACCAATTGTTTATCATTACAGCTCATGAGTATCTTCTTGAGCAACATCTTGAGAAATACAAGTGATAGATTTTTATTGAAGCTAAACTCCTTATTGTTACTCAGCCACGCATTTTGAAAGGAGTATGAATTGCTTTAGTACTCTGTAGATGGATGGATGTTGTTTACCCAGGTGACTAACTGGCCATGTACTCTCCTCCAGTGACTGCAATTTGTACAGTACAAAACTGATCATGTCAGATGGCTTTGTAGTAAAACCATTATACATGTACTAATAGTCAAAGAACTAAACTCTGCCTTTGTTCCACAGTTGCAACTCTCACTGCAGCTCTAAGGTTGTAAGTTTTGGCACTCCAGTGTGCAATGTCTCTTAGTTTTGGCTCTTAGATCAGAGAGTCTTTGAATTTTAACTAACACCTGTAATCATTTTGATGGCTTTGTTGACAAGTAATTACATGCTTGAGTATTTTGTTGAATTAAGATCTGACCTGTAAGCTTCCTTTCTTTATCTAGTGTTTTCTGATCTCTAAGGAAGGCAAGTTGAGGGAGGTGATCCTGCCCCTCTGCTCTGTGCTGGTGAGGCCCCTCCTGGAGCACTGTGTCCAGATGTAGAGTCCTCAGTGTAGGAGAGACACGGACCTATTGGAGCACATCCAAAGGAGGGCCACAAAAATGATCCAAGGGATGGAACACCTCCCCTGTGAGGACAGGCTGAGAGAACTGGGGCTGTTCAGCTTGGAAAAGAGAAGGCTCTGAGGTGATCTGTTAGTGGCCTTTCAATATCTAAAGGCAAGCTACAGGAAAGAAGAGGGCAGACTCTTTAGCAGGGTCTGTGGTAATAGCATAAGGGGAAATGGTTTCAAGCTTAAAGAGGGAAGATTGTTTGGACATAAGGAAAATATCTTTTACAGTGAGGGTAGTGAGGCACAGGTTGCCCAGAGGAGTGATGGATACCCCAGGCCTGGAGACTTTCGAAGCAAAGTCTGGATCAGACTTTGGGCAACCTGATCTAGTTGTGGTGCCCCTGTTCAGTGCAGGGGAGTTGGTCTAGATGGCCTTTAAATGTCCCTTCCAACTCTAATGGTTCTGTGATTCTATGAATACTTTACTTTAAGGTTGAAAGACCTACCTGATTGGAGTGAGTACCTAATATGTACAAAGACATTCCTTAAAATGTTGTTCAAGAAAACTATTTATTTATTTATTTATTTATTTATTATTTTTACATCATTGGCAAAAGTAAAAAAGAAATAAAAAGTAACATCTGAAGAACATTTCTGCCCCTGGCAAGAGGATTTCTGGGAGCCTACTAACTTGCTTACTATTGATACAAGGTCTATAAAAGATTGAGTTTTAAGGTGCAAATCTAGAACAGATTTAAAGAATTTTAACACTGTAAAGTATCAATTGGTTTACTGCACTCAGAAACACTAGAAACAGTGTTGTCATCTGACAGCAACAATGAACTAATCCTTCTAAAGCAGGACCACTATTTTCAGTAGAAATAAATACTCTGGGGGAGTATTTTGCAAGGTGTCCTGAATGTAAGCTGCCTGTGATCTAAAAGTTTCTTTGCTCCTGTACAGAGAGGTCCTCTTTACTCTACAGGTACTTTTTTCAGTTGGCAAGATGGAGATTGAGCTCTTGAGTGAAGGATTTTTATAACATCTCCTGGCTTACAGACCTAGCTGGAGGAGTGGTTCAGCTTCAAGCACTGCCTGAATGATGCAGTGCTCTCAGTGCAGGCAGGAGTGCTCTCAGAGAGGCAGGAGATGCAAATGAAAGCCCCACCAAAGCATTGTCAGAGAAGTGTTTTTAGTGTGTTTATGACTGAACCTAAGCAGTGTTTTTTTCTGGATAGGACACTACTGAGTGATGTAATTCTCATTCCTGCAGTCACGTAACCCAGTTCATTTCCCAGATATACCAAAAGGTTAACTTGCTAAGATTTGGTGAAGTGACTGAAAATCAATGTTGTTCCCTGTTCCATACATCCAGTTTTCCAAACTTTTTTGACATATAGGACAGATACTGAAACCAGTAATACAAGTACTAGTGTTCAGAGTCTTTTGTTTGGTCTTCATTAGCTGGGTGGGTTTCAAAAAATGAGTGTGTTAACTGTATTTTGAAGGCTACTGAAAGTTATATTTCAGAAGGCTCTAAATTCTGTTATGTTTTATTTAGGTAAAAGAAAAGTGAAGAGGTGATGTAGTGGCTAATAAATATTAATGTTAATTACAGAAGTTACTGAAATGGCCATCTCTGCTATTCGTGTGTGTCAAAGGCTATTCCCTTGGATACACATCTTCCTTTGGTTCCTTCAACAAGAGATCAGTTATGAAGGGAAAGGAAGTACTGCAGATACAAAAGAATTTGTTGAGACTGCATATGCCCTTATCCTGGAAGGCTTCACAACTTAGACAGTGAAGTGAACACTGTGCTAGTTTAAAAGAAAAAAGCATACAAAGGAACTAGAGCAGTGCCTTGCTTTCCATGTATGGGAGGATTTGGGTGTTGGTCTCAAGAAGTGTTAATTCACACAAGCCCATAGTCAAATCACTAACACTGTGAGACATTCCGTCAAAGGCAATAGATATTTCAGCTTTTAAAACAGAATGCTTCTTCAAACCCAGTTGTTGTGGTTTAATGCAGCAAGCAGCTCAGCACCACATATGCCTTTGTTCACTCCTTCCACTTCCCAGTGGAATCTCCTGATTCGCTTCCTTATTTCATCCTTTCCATCAGCTGAAAAAATTCTGCTATTGCATGGGAGAGGGGCTTGGCTCTGGGCAAAGAGGTTTAGGAAGAGCTTTGAGTTGTCACAGGACACAATACTTTTGCATTCATAAGTTAGCAAATCTGGAAGAGGCAGCAGTGAGGATGTCAGTATTAAAGAACTGACAAGCTGAGTTCCAGGGCTGTTTTCTTCAGGTTCAGTATCTCTGTTGGCTTAAAGGCTTTGGTCTTTGAGGTAACTGGTATACTGATGCCTTCTTATCTCTCAGTGACTTGTAGAACTTAATTAATCAACGTTTCTGAACAGTGAATTCTTCCTCTGGTAGAAGCTATTAAATTTCATAGCAAAATAAGAATAATCTTGGCATGATCAAATTAGCTCTACATTGGTATATGTGTAAACAGAATGAATTACACTTGCTACATCGTAGGGGATATCTGGGTTATTGCAAATGCTACAATCCTTTTCCTTTGGATTTCTGAGCTATTTTTATTATACTAATTCTGATTAAAATATTAAGCCTGATTGTCAGCTCTAATCCATGCTTCCTCCTTGCATATCTAGCAGTGTTAAATGCTATGGCTAGTTTAAAGCATTTAAAACCACTGCCACATGTAGGAAACTGTGAGGAAATCATCCAAGCTACAGACATTTCTCCATCTATTTAAAGGGAAAGTTTATGGAGCTGCACAAGCCAGGATGGTTGTTGTATTTAGCATACAGTCCCAGTTTGAAAACAGCTGATTTAAGTTTTAGCTGTTTGTTAATTCAGTGTGAGAAAGCAGAGCACAACCGTAGTTTCACTGATGTGAAAAATCATTTATCAGTTTTCAAGTGTCATAGTTTTTTTATTTCTCATTAACAGCAGTTACTCAGTGCTACTTCTAATAATTGTAGTGGCTGCATAAGACAGGGCTGGAAATGCCCATCCATTCCCAAAATGAGTGGAGTTGAGACTGCTGGAGACTGGCCCTAGCCTGTTTTCTGGGCAGGGTAAATTTGTTTTGAGACTAGTCCAAATTATATCTGGGCAACAAAAAGCTTCAGCAGGCTACTCAGCAGCATGCAGCCCATGGTAGAAATCAAGAAAAAAATGCATCTCTGGAGTTGTGTCATGTTCTTAGGCTGTTTTGGCCCACACTGGGTTGTATTTTGGGCTCTCTGTACTGCAAATGCAAACTTGCTATGCAATACTGAATGTTCATACCTAAACAGCTCGGCTAACATCTCAGAAGTGCAGAACTTCTGTGAGAGGGCTGTCAGGCACAAAGTGTGAACTCTGTAGCACTGCTTTGAAATTAAAATGAGAAAAATACCCCAAAGAAGGTTTTCAAAAATATGTAAGTCTGATTTATTTTTCACCATCTTACATGTAAAAGTTTTTTTCACAATTTTCTAGTGAAAGCTAACTTGGCTGTGCAAAAAGCTATTAAATTAGACCATGTTTTTCTGTTTTATCTGATGTTTAAATAATTTAGAAGATGGAAATAATATTTTGTTGGTGTTATTATTTGTTCCAACAATAAAGATTTTGCTCATTACATGTTCAAATGAATTATGTGAGGCACATAAAGGCAAGGAAGGACTAATAAAGGAAGCATCTGAGGTAAATATATTTGATTCTGTAGAGCTTGGCAACAGTAGGTACTGTTATTTTCTGACATGGGCTCAAAGAGGAAAATGCTACAATAAAAATAATAAGCTAGAAATCATCAAGTTGAAGTCTCCATCTTCAAACTGCTGTTTAAATTCTCTATTTCCAGCTTATTGCTGAATTGCTGCAATGGATGGCATCTTAAAATCTTCCTCAATAATAGAGGAGAATCAAATTTATTGGCTATAGAGATGTGTGTAGGAAGACCCAGTGTGTATACTGCATTTCAGTTATGTGGTTAAAGCTTTAA